AAAGGTCATCCTAAATATTTATCAACTCCTTCAACTAGTACCATTGTACTGACTGGGATAATTAACATCCCTAACTATTAACCCTTCATACAAAGACTAGTGGAGCTCGTTCAACAGTAACTGGCAGTAGACATGTGCGATTCGGTTCGTTCCGAAATTAGTTTCAGACGAATTTTCGGAAATTCGGAGATTCGGATGCATCCGAATTACAGCTAAGACGAATGCAAACAAATCCGAAATTCCCGATTTCCCGAAATTCGTTATTGGACGAATTTCGTTGCAGCAAAATGACATTAGGGGAAAAAAATGACAACATTTTACCTCTACAACACATCTATGCTTAGAGTAGCGGTTAGAGGACAGGCTTGCCATTGCTAAGGTACCAGGTTCAAATCCAGGGCAAGTCGAGTAATGTTTAAAGTTGTTTTTTTTTTCCTTTTGAATTGGCATTCTCCTAACATTCCTACCAGACCTAAAGGGTCTGGTATGAATTGGGGGGAACCTCAGGCTTTTTTTTTTTTCATCTTCTTCAATGGACTCCAAGAAACGGATTTTACTGTAAGTACAGAAATCCTTATATTTCATCGTTATCACAGCGTCAGCAAAGCTACGTGTGTACTTTATCGCCTTTTAAAATACAATTGGGTTTATTCCACACACGTCACTTTCCCTCTGAGTATAATGATGCTATGCAGAGGTTAGTTATTAAATGAAATGATAAATGTGACACAGCTGCTGCCATCTTCTTCTGATCTGAATTGCTTGGAAAGCTATGCAGAACTGGTGGCCAAGATGGTCATCCTCTTTGAGAATCACTGACCTAGAACCTTAAAGGATAATTGTACTTTTAATAGGGTACTTTAAATCCTTGGTTCTCAACTGGTGGGTCGTGACCCAAAAGTGGGTTGAGACCCCATGTTCAGTGGGTCACGCATGCCTTCCACTTTTCTAGGTGAGACTCCTCAGCCTCCCCCTAGAGCAGCACCGTTAGTTCTCATGCCAAGCAGCCATTCAAAATATGTTGTCCGGCCCTGCGTGCCAGCTTGAGGTAAGCTGGGCTGGTAGTATGGCCATAAGGGAACTCCATCCATACATGCATTTCTTACAGTTCCTACATGTGCCCTGGAGAGGTGCCTGGACTGGACTTACGTCACATTCTGGCTCCCGACACCTTAACAGGGCGCGCAAGGGAGCTGTATAAGCCGTGCATATAGGGATGGAGCTCCGTCACAGCACAGCAGCTCACATTGGACCCCAGGCTGAGGATCCACTCCAGTTCTCGTAAGATAGGGAAACTGGGTGGACCTTAAAAAAAATATTTTTTTTGGGAGTGTGTGTGTGTGCGAAAATATCTGAGTGTGTGAGATTGTGTCTGTGGTTGTGTGTCCGTCAGTGTTTTTGAGTGTGCGTTCATACTAGTACAGTGCGTTAATTGCACATTTACATGCAATCACACGTACTGCGTGTTCTGGTGTGGAAGGCGTGTTGTGTTGCCGTTAATTTGAATGACACCCCAAACGCACCTCCCGCACACAGTCCGATCGTCTGCACCCGAACGTCCGGTAATTCAGTGCCGTGCATTTCATTGCAGTGCGACTCGGGTCGCAACCTAATGACCAAGGACAAATAGGGGTCCTGGGGTTACACAGGTTGAAATGCTCCTCCTCCTCCCAGCAACCCTCCAGGTCTAACACTTACCTGCCCCCATTCATCTAAGATCTTCCCATTGGGAGCCCTGAAATCTTCCCATTGGGAGCCCGTCATCCACCCATCCTTTGGCCGGGCTCTGTACTTTCTTGTAGAGAAGTAAATTCATTCAGACCGATGCAATAGGCCGTTCCATTATATGTCCCAAAGGTCCATAGGATAGAATGGAGCTTGTGTGGAAGAAGCAGAACCTGGCTGGGAGGATTTCAGCAAAGTGACTGTGTATAGCCCAGCAGTCCACTCCACACATCAAAGACCTCAGAGATGAGGGGACAGGTAGGTCTAACATTTTGGGGATGACATTTCAAGGTCAACTGGATAACAAGAATCTGTGAGCCATAATGGTTCCTATGTCTCTATTTCCCCCATAATGCCTGATGACAGCAAGTATGCACCTGCTGCGGTTGTTCTGTCATGGGCCACTGACGTCTCTAACCATAGTAGTCACCCTACCACTGTATTCAGTCATTTAAACTTTCTTCCCTTCCTTCCCTGTCTTCATCAGTGTGCTCGGTCACTTTGAGAGGCCCCTGTTCCTGGCATTGTGTCAGTATGTGGTATATGAACACTATGACCCCGGAGGTGTGGTATTCTGCCCCGGGCAGCCCGATTCCAGTATTTACATCGTCCTTGAGGGGAAGCTGGAACTCTCCCTGACTGATCCCGTAAGATTTTGTTTTATTTGTCACAGTTTTAACATTTTGGGGCCGATGTCTTTTGCCCTTGCATATAGATGGGCGAATGCCGTTCACACATCATTTCTGACACTAGATGGCGCTGAGGGGCATAGGAATATACTATGCTCCTCAGCTCCACCTAGTGGTGGTACTGCCCTGCAAACGGCATTCATCCAGCTATATGCTGGGCGGAAGATTTATAAATCGGCCCCTTTGTGTATTTTTATGTTATGCTACAAAAAGAGAAGCACTAAACAAATAGAAACAAAAAAGATTCAATGTGATTAATGAAAATTATATTAATTTACAATGTTGCATTTAATTAAATTTTTTTCTATTAAATTCTTTTGAATTGTTGTATTAGTGTGGCTTTACTTTATTATTATTACTATTATTCAGTATTTATAAAGTGCAAACAGTTTGCACAGTGCTTTACTAAAGGAATGCAGTACAGTTACAATACAATTCAATACAGGACGGTTAGGAGGGCCCTGTTCTTGAGAGCTTATTATGTACTGCTGTGCCTGTCCTTTTTTTCCATCAGAGCAGATCTGAAAGCCAGGTATTAGCATGACAACTCCTATCTGAGCTTGGTGTAAAGGTGACACCGTCTGGCAGCTGACATGGGCTCACCCAGGGCATGGAGTCTAAGCACCAGCCGGTTTTCATCAGAGCTCCTGATTGTGGAGGCAGGTGTAGCTGCTTGCTGGTACCAGGTCGCGGCCCCCAGGATAGCCCTGCCAAAGGATGGACAAGGACAAGAGGTCTCCAATAAGGAGACAGTAGTCCAGAGCATGGTCAGGAAAAGGCAGAGGTTTTGACAGGAGATAACCAGAGAATGGTCGGATGGTCCAGGTCACCAACCAGTAGACAGGAGACGAAAACATAGTTGGATCCAGGGAGTGGTCAAGGCAGGCAGCTAGCATAGAGTGGTCAGGCAGTCCAGGTCAGCAATGAGCGGTCAGTAGATAAGACAGGAGACGAGAGCTAAGTCAGGTCTAGGCAAAAGATCAGGGCAGGCGGCAAGCGGAGATACGGAGTCAGCAAACAGGAAACAATAATAGTATTAAAGCTCTTTGTACATTCAGGATGCTGGCTTGAAGACACAGCACCAGACCCTTGCAGAGCTGCTGCCTACATACCCCTCTGAATCAGAGGTGACACACCCAGCATCACTTCAGGTCGCTCTGGATATCCTGGTCCGGAATCTGTGGCTGTCATTAGCCATACTGGCCAAGATTCTGTGAGAGCCATTAGAAGTAATGGCAGAGCTCCTATGAGTACCATTAGAGGTACTGGCGGGTCTTCTGGAAGATCTGTAAAACCCATCAGGGACTCTGAGAGCACCATAATACTTGGTGCCATTGAACAGACCCTCTGGGTTATGTGATAGGAACTAAAGACTTTGTTGCCTGTTATTTACTTATTAGTTAGTTACTTATCCTTCTCCAGCAGCCAGGGCAAAGTGTCAATGATCAATCTTGAGCTCAGGCAGGTGACAGGGCAGCCTCTATGGGGGGCTTTACAGCCAGGGCTAACATTTCTACTAGGACAGGAAGAGAATGCAAGTGACTACCAGCACACACAGCTATCCCCGAGAAGTAAAGCTGCACTATAATAACATATTAAGAGTTTAGATTCAGATTCTTACAAATGGCCGGTCCTCACTGGTTGTCAATAAGGAAGCATAAACATATGTGTCATGTGCTGGCAATGTTCACTGTATAAAGCTTGGGATCTACTAATGTAGGCCACTCATGTTTCTTTTTCGTTAGCCTGATGTGAGGACAGGCAGTGATCCACTTCTTCCTATCTCTTCCTAGCAGGACGGCACCCGGCACTATATGAAGTCGGTGTCTCCTGGTGATAACGTGCACAGCCTTCTCAGCATCCTGGATGTTCTTACAGTGAGTTGAAAATAATAGTTGTGGTTCATTATGTGGATTTTATTTGTCTGATGTTAGGAAGGTTTCTTTCACAAGGCAAAAAGAAGGGAGACGGATGCGCCTGCTTTGACCCCATAAGGACAGCGAGCCCAGAATTTCTGTTACCCCATTTCTAGGGAAGTGGTTTTATTTTTTGCCAGTGCTATAATAAAACTGGTATGAAAAGCACATCCTGACGTTGTACATATAACACTAAAGCTGAGGCTCCCAGACCCGAATGATATTCGGGAGCTCCTCAATGCAATTCGGAAATTCCGATCCCAAATGCCATTCGGGTCTGGGAGTCTCAGCTTTAGTATTATATGGATATGGCTCCCAGACCCGAATGGCATTTTAGGATCGGAATTTCCGAATTGCATTGGGGAGCTCCCGAATGCCATTCGGGTCTGGGAGCCAGATACATATAACACTAAAGCTGAGGCTCCCAGACCCGAATGGCATTTTAGGATCGGAATTTCCGAATTGCATTGGGGAGCTCCCGAATGCCATTCGGGTCTGGGAGCCAGATACATATAACACTAAAGCTGAGGCTCCCAGACCCGAATGGCATTTGGGATCCGAATTGCACTGGGGAGCTCCCGAATGCCATTCAGGTCAGGGAGCCTCAGCTTTAGTAATATATGTATAAGGCTCCTAGACCCGAATGGCATTCGGGAGCTCCCCAATGCAATTCGGAAATTCCGATTCCGAATGCTATTCGGGTCTGGGAGCCAGATACATATAATACTAAAGCTGAGGCTCCCTGACCTGAATGGCATTCGGGATCCGAATGTATGTATGTATGTATGTATCCGTAATATATGTATATGGCTCCCAGACCCGCCCAATGCAATTCGGAAATTCGGATCCCAAATGCCATTCAGGTCTGGGAGATTCAGCTTTAGTATTAATATCTGTAGATGGTTTTCTGTGGTATTCACAACGAATATTCGTAAACTCATCCGAAACTAACGAAAATTCGGATTTTGTCCGAAACCCCAAACTGAATTGAATTTTAGATTAAGATCCCAAATTCCGAACTGAATTCGGGAGCTCCTAAATGCCATTCGGTTCTGGGAGCCATATACATATAATATAAAGCCGAGACTCCTGGACCCGAATGGCATTTGGGATCCGAATTGCACTGGGGAGCTCCCGAATGCCATTCCGGTCAGGGAGCACAGCTTTAGTAATATATGTATCTGGCTCCCAGACCCGAATGGGATTCAGAGCTCCCCAATGCAATTCGGAAATTCGGATCCCAAATGCCATTCGGTCTGGGAGCCAGATACATATAATACTAAAGCTGAGAATCCCTGACCTGAATGGCATTCGGTGATTCTGCATTCTCCGAACTGCATTGGGGAGCTCCCTCAGCTTTAGTATATCGTCTACCTTCCCAGACCCAAATGATATTCGGGAGCTCCCCAATGCAATTCGGAAATTCAGATCCCGAATGCCATTCAGGTCTGGGAGCCTCAGCTTTAGTATTAATATCTGTATGTGGTTTTCCGTGGTATTCACAACGAATATGCGTTCGTAAACTCATCCGAAAATAACGGAAATTCGGATTTCGAAACCCGAACCGAATGGAATTTCAGATCTGAATCCCGAAATAACGAAATATCCGAACTGAATTTTTCTGCAAATTACATATGTAATAACTGGGTCTTCAGCCTTGACAGGAAAAAACATTGAATATCAAAAGGACAAAATCCAATACCTGTCCGTGCAGCTGCCATTATGTGTATGGCAAGGCTTCCCAGAGGGAGCAGCAAATGTACTGCTGGCAGTCATCTTCTCCGTTTAAATACCCAACTTCTCCTCCCTCACCTCATTATCGCAATGCACATCAGGTCTGCCATCGCGTGTAGGTGAGGAGAACAGCGCATGCGCGGGAAAATTGGCGTGCAAGGGGCGAACGGCTAACCAACGGAACCCGGAAGGGGAAGCAAAGAAAGAGGCCAGCAGTTCAAAGGGCAGTCTGTTAATGACTGAAGGCATGAAAACACACCCACCATGAGTGTCCGATCCCCGAATGGAACTAGGGTGATATGACTGCCAGGCCAATGACTCCGCCCCCAGTCATACTGCCGGCGTAGCCTAGCAACCAGTTGCCAACCGCGCCATTCCCACCCAGGCAGCAAACATTGCTGCTAATGGGCAAACAGCACCATAGAGCAAACCAGTCACACTCCAATGACTGTCATCTCTGGTTCCTCATGGTTTACTGGGTGTGGCTGTAGGACCTTCCACTCTTAAAGGAGAACTATGAGGTGAGTGATTTTCACTCCACCTCATAGTTCGAGCCGACTTGTGACAATAAACCTGTCACACGTCGGCTCAATAGATCGGGAAGTGAGCAAACACATACCTTCGCTCGCTCACTTATCAATCATCTCCCTGCAGAGAGCCATGACTGTCAGTCACGGCTCCCTGCAGGTATTGCCCCCCTTCCCTGTCCGATCCTCCAGCGCTGACTGGCGGAACGGACGGGGGAGGGGGCGGGTACAGCTGGCTCTGCCTCTAGATAGGCAGAGCCAGCTGTCACTCACGCAGGTGGGTGGATCTCGACAAGCTGTAGCCCCCTATATACTGAGCTTTGGGTGACAGGAGGACGCTAGTTTATGTCTTGCCATGACCCTTAGGAGAACTATGGGGAAAAGCACTGACCCCATAGTACTCCTTTAATGGTGCTAGGGATGTTGAACGTAAAGATATACTGTATCTCCCATGCTTGAGCTCCACACATGTTCTCTTCAGTTGCCTCTTCATAGACTATTCTGAGCGCGGTCATCGGAAGTCTGTGTCAGGCAACGATCCTGCAAATTACAGATAACACCCTGCGTCCTAAATGACGTGAGGCGGGGGCAGGGGTGAGCACAGCACCGTGTATAAACTTGGCTGAGCCATTCCGATCCCCTGCTGCAAACGTATCGCCTAGTCAGCCTCCACTGCTGCAAACGTATCACCTAGTCAGCTTCCCCTGCTGCAAACGTATCACCTAGTCAGCCTCCCCTGCTGCAAACGTATCACCTAGTCAGCCTCCCCTGCTGCAAACGTTTCACCTAGTCAGCCTCCCCTGCTGCAAACGTATCACCTAGTCAGCCTCCCCTGCTGCAAACGTATCACCTAGTCAGCCGGGCGCAACAAAATATCAATCTATGAAGACAGGAGAGTAAAGCTTTCTAAGGCATAAAATGTATCCATGACAAAGAGGATTCAATTTGAATCAGAATTGGAAGCAGCATGAGCACAGAACACCTTTTCATCTGCATAATCCCGGACAACATTCATACAAATGTCTTTAGTAACATAAAATAACAGAATAAGTACAAATTTGCAAATATAGACATGAAACTGTGTTTGCAAAACATTCTGGGCTTTCTCAATAAAAAGCCCAGCATTGGCCCCATGCTGCCTGGCAGACCACTAGTTAAAGAAGAACTCAGGGCAAAACTTTTTATAACCCCAGCAGTGGGGCTACCCCCCGTACTGCAAGGGTTAAGTGTCTAGTGACAAAAATAACAAAGTTATACTCACCCGATCCTCGTCTAGCTCTGACGGTGCTCCCCCCAGGCTGTGTCCTCCGCTGCAGAGATGGTATGTCCCTGGGTGTCCTCACGTCCTGTACACTGTGTAATGGATGTGATGACTAGTGATGGGCTTGATGTTAGGCGAACACAAAGGCACAAGGCCCCACAGGCAGGGCAGCCATCAGAAATTTTTGGGCCCCTTACACGGCTTTAGGCTCTGACTCTGGGCTTAGTGATCCGCTGGACGCAGGACCCACCTGAGAACCTGCAGAGCCCACCATAGATGCTGCACAGCCCATCTGATACTCTCTATGGTGGGCTCTGCAGGGGTCCCAGGTGGGCTGGTGACCTGGCTTCCTCTGCCGCTTGATTGGCCGGAAGTGATGTGATGTCACTTGCGGCTGGTCCGAGATCAGAAGAGCAGCGGCACCGATGGGGCCCCAGCCTGCTCCGATGCCGCTGGATCGGCAATGCAAGGGTCCGGCGCTGCTAGGGCCATGGCTCACCTGTCAGATGCCCCATAACTGTCACTGCTAACTCTGCCCAATTGTTTATTGTGACGGACTCCCTGGCACCCCGACTGAGCACCTCCGTCAGTGATATGGCTTCCCAAATGGAACGTATTCCAAACCCTGTTACCATTACCCCAAGAATCAGGCAGCACTCATTTTGGAGGTAAGCAGAATGACACAAAAGCCTTTATTAACACAAAGCATTGGAGTTTTATAGGAAGAAGCCCACCCCCTCCGGTCTAGAACGAACCGGTATCCACCACTTTGTAGGAGGCTGCTTTGTCCCAATAGACACTTCGAGTTGGGAGTCTAACAATGGGCTGATTAGCTCAACTGATAGGTGTGGATGGGGGATGTGTGGATGGGGATAGTGTCCCACCTGATTGCATGTATAGCACCTCCTCCCAAAATGGGCTGCTGCTCTCTGGGGTCCCGCTGTAGCTCGGTTCCACTGCGGAGACCGTGGGCGATTTCGGGGGCAGTTGCTCCACAGGTGTCCCACCTGATTGCATGTATAGCACCTTCTCCCATCCGATCGGAGAAGGGGTGCAGGCGCTGCCCGAGGAGGAGGGTACGAGGGCGGTGGACGGTTTGTTGTTACTGGGGGACGAGGTATCACCGCCTGAAAGGGTCTGCTGACTGGTCGAGCTTCAGGTCGAGGGGGCCTCCTGGTATCAATATACTGATCTGCCAGGACTGCAGCTTCATTGATGTTAAGCGGTCTTCGGTCCTTCACCCAATCCCTAATTTCGACCGGCAACTGGTCGTATAGCTGCTCCATCAAGATGAGCTGGGCAGCTTCCGCCATGGTGGTGATTTGGCATCCCGCGAACCAGGCATCCACGGCTCGGGCCATCTGGTGTGCTAGCTCTGTATACGGCTGCTCGGCTTCCTTCCGCAGCCCTCGAAACTTTAATCGATGAGCTTCCGGGGTGATATTATAGCGGGCTAGGATCCTCTCCTTCACCCGCTCGTAGTTCCTTCTGTCTTCCGCAGGAGTAGATTCGAGGGCACTCAAAGCCCGACCGGACAGTTTACTGATCAGGATCTTCATCCAGTCAGCCTCTTCTACTCCCTGCATGTCACACTGCGTCTCAAACAGCTCCAGGTACGCATCAATGTCTTCCTGGCCGTCCTGGAAGAGTCGGAATGAGTCAAACGGTATTTTCCTCCGGCTCCCTCCATCGGGCACTGTCTGTCGGTCTCCCGCTCGTTGAGCCTCCGCCTGTCTCAGGTTGGTAGCCTCCGAGATGAGCTTGGTGATGGTATCTGAGTCAGGTGGAGTGCTATACAGGGATAGCTTCCACTGGATATCCCGCTGGAGCTCCGTGAGCTGAGCGCCCCCCTCGACCGGAGCACTCATCCTCTCTCTGGTACGATCTCCCTCTAGGAGTTCTCCGATGAGAGACGCCTTAGTCTTGCAGCTTCCACTGATTCCTCGGGACTCAAGTAAGTCCTTCAGTGTACTTCTCTTCAGTCTGCTATATCGATCTTCCTCCGATGTCCCGGTGGTGGTCTGGATGTTCCAAGTGCAGGGAAGCATCCCACCGCTTGCCACCAATTGTGACGGACTCCCTGGCACCCCGACTGAGCACCTCCGTCAGTGATATGGCGGCGGTCGTCGTTTTTAAAAAAAATAAAAAATATAGTATGATGTCTATTTATTTTTTATTGTTTTATTTTTATTTAGTCGCCGTCGACAACGCTGGACGTCGTGATTGACCCTGAATTACGTCAGTGGATCAATTTTTTTAAAAAGTAAAAACTTTTCAAAAACTTGTCTTTTGTTTTTTTTCCAAATCAAGGATTTTTTTAAAAAGTCTGGCCTCTTTTTTCCAATTTTATTTAACCCTTTAGTAAATGGGCAGGGGTACAAGTACACAAGGGGGGTGGGGGCACCGCATCTGGGTGCCCCTTTATTAAAGGGGTACCCTGATGTGAAGGCCAATGCTCGGATCAAGGGTCTGGTTGGGAATTTTAGGGGGGACCCCACGTTTCTTTCCTAAGGAGGTGGGGTGTCTCCTTAAAATTCCTACCAGACCTTAAGGGCCTGGTATTGTTTGGGAGGGGGAACCGCACTCTTTTTTTTTTTTTTTTATGTAATTTTCTTTAGAAATGTCAGTTTTGCTGCAGCAGGTTCTATACCACTTTACAGGAAGGTTAAGGGGACCCCCCAGGCACAATATTTAAATAATTTTTTCATTGTTATTGTTTCCCTTTAAGTGATCACTTCTCCTTTAAAAACGGTATTTTTAAAAAGTGTTTGTTTTTCATTGATTCCTGTCCCCCAGGGCAGTACCCGGATCCCCATACATGTCCCCCATGGCAGTACCCTGATCCCCATACATGTCCCCCATGGCAGTACCCGAATCCCCATACATGTCCCCCATGACAGTACCCGGATCCCCATACATGTCCTCCAGGGCAGTACCCGGATCCCCATACATGTCCCCCAGGGCAGTACCCGGATCCCCATACATGTCCCCATGGCAGTACCCGGATCCCCATACATGTCCCCCCAGGGCAGTACCCAGATTCCCATACATGTCCCCCAGAGTAGTACCCGGATCCCCATACATGTCCCCCAGAGCAGTACCCGGATCCCCATACACATTTTATGGCCAATAACTTGCATATAAGCCCTCTTAAAGGGGACAATTGTTTTTGAAAGTTCTACCACCATTGACTTGCATTGAGTTCGAGTTCATATTCAAACTTTTTGGATGTTCTAAAGTTCGAATTTGAACCGAACTCGGGCCTGTTTGGCCCATCACTAGTGGTGAGTATGTGTTGCTGGGAAGGGGGCAGTAAAGCAATGAAAGGGTGTGTTTTTCTGCAAGGGCAAAGCACAGGTTTGCTTTAAGAGAGTCCTTCCTCCTGTCATTAAAGGGATCATGTTGGTCTATGCATGAGACAAATGAATAGGTCCTGAATGTAATCTTGGTGAATTTTTTTTTATCCTGTATTTGTAATTTAAGGATTATTTGTTCTCTACAGGGTCATCAGAGGCCATACCGTACAGTAACAGCGAAGGCTGTAGAGAAGAGCACAGTGCTACGGCTTCCTGTTGAGGCATTTTCTGCTGTCTTTCAGTCCTACCCCCAAAGTTTAATCCGGACTGTCCAGGTTGGTAGTTGCAAAGATCTGTTGCTGTTATGCTGTTCATTTTTATGCTCATGGAACTAAAACAAAGCAATCATTCTACCCTCCTCAGATCATTGCTCTTCGTCTTCAGAGAGTCACCTTTCTCGCTCTGCACCATTACATGGGCCTGACTATTGAACTCTTCCAGCATGTAAGACCTATCGACTCTCAACATTAAAGGTTGGAGGGGGTGTGGGGTGCATCACTAGAGGGATCCCCAGCAGGAGGAAGGAGGTCCAGATTCCCCATTATAGATCTTTATTATCACTAGAGGGATCCCCAGCAGGAGGAAGGAGGTCCTGATTCCTCTATATAGATCTTTAATTAGACCTCATTTAGAATACTGTGTCCAGTTCTGGAGACCTCACTTACAAAAAGATACTGATAAGAACAAGTCCAGAGGAAGCCAACAAACATTGAGAAAGGTCTGAGAGATAAAACATATCAGGAATGAATGCAAGAACCTAATATGTACGGTCTGGAGGAAAGGATTAGGGGAGCATGACTGAAACACCTTTAAACACATGAAGGGTGTGAATAAGGTTCAGGGGGAGGGGGGGGGGGCAGGATTTTCAATATTAAGCTGAGATCAAGAACACAGAAACATGACCTTATACTAGCAGGAGGAAAGTTTAAAACTAGCCTTTGAAAGTATTATTGTAACAAAAGCGTAGCTGATGATTCCAAGCTTGCAGCAGAGGTAGTAAGTCGGCCAACAGTAAGGTCTCGTTCACACCTAGGCGTATTGCATATGCGCGTCTGTCGCTTTCGCGGTAAAAAAGTCGCGCGACAAACGCGCGTTTACGAAGGCTACTTGGCTGTATCCCAATGGAAACGCGCAACAAAACGGCCCAAAGTAGTACCTGTACCTTTTCAGGCGTGGGCCGTTTTGTAGCGCGTTAGGGACGGGCGGAAATACGCCAAGGTGGGAACGAGACTATTGAATACAATGGGATTTATATTTTTGAGCGTTTTGTAGAGCGTTCGTCGAGCGTAGAATGCGCTACAAAACGTTCAGGTGTGAACGAGGGCTAAGTGTATTACAACATCCTTGGGGCAAACATAGATCTATAACTAGGCAAAAAGTTTAACAAAGATGCCTTTTCGACTGATCACATGTTCTTTTTCTGTCATCACTCTTTAAAGTTTCTATGAGCATCATTCAGATGTCACTGAGAAGCACAGGATTGTTTAAAAGGTGACCAGAGTAATTACTCTTTGACAAGTCTCTCTCTATGCAGGACCTCCATTTTGAAACAAGTCCTTCTCGTCCTGTCCGGCCTCGTCTTTCTAGAAGTAAAACACATACTGAAGGTGAGACTACACATATACAGTATGTGGTTGGACTCGATAGTAGCTCAGAATGGCTAAAGCTTTATCTATATTTACCAACCTTATATTTTTTTTCAACTGTTGTCCATAGTTGCCCCATGGAGTATAGTAACACCCAATCCTCACCATGCCGCGGGTTGTACAGTATTTTTAAATAGAGAATTTGGGCTGAATTCTGTATTGTTTTGTGAGTGTCCCAGCTAGCAGGTGTTTGGCTTTAATCACCACCTCCTGGCCTAGCTCTAATGTTTAGTCTCTTAAAGGAGAACTACCCAGATAGCAAGGATAACTTGCCACAAACTTGTGTCGGGGTTAAATTGTAATTTTGTTAACCTGCTGCACATATTCCTGGCAAGTTGTAGACTTGCAGAACACTCGCAGCACAAGTTCTAGGTGACACTTTTTGAATTTGTAGCAAATTTGCTTGGCAAGTCTACAGCAAGAGTCCTGCAGGTCTTAGCAAGAGCTCTGCAAGCTTGCTGGTCTGGAGACTTGCAATGCAGACTTGCTGTAATTGTGCAACAAAACTGTGAAGCTCGGCAAGTCTGCAAAAGTTTAGCAAGTCATTTTCAAACTTGCAGCTCAATTTCTTGCTATCTGGGTATGGGGTGAGTGCTTTTCACTCACCTCATAGTTCTAGCCGACCTGTGACAATGAGACTGTCACAGGTCGGCTCAGTAGATCGGGAAGTGAGCGAACACATACCGGCGTTCGCTCACCTCTCGATCCTGTCACAGCTCTCTGCCGTGACAGGGGAGGGGCTGGATTCCCCCCTCCTCGCTCCGATCCTCCAGCGCTGACTGGCGGAATGAACGGGGGAGGGGGCGGGTACAGCTGGCTCTGCCTCTAGATAGGCAGAGCCAGCTGTCACTCACGCAGCTGGGCGGATCCAGACATAATTGTCGGGATCCGCTTCAGCTGCGGCGTCACAGTATACCGCGAGCTGTAGCTCCCTATATACTGAGCTTAGGGTAACGGGAGGATGCTAGTTTGTGTCCTCCCGTTACCCTAAGGAGAACTATGGGGAAAAGCCTTAACCCCATAGTTCTCCTTTAACTTAAAACTTGAGGTGCCTGTGGCACGGTACAAGGTGGCCCTATGGCAGTTCCATCCACATCCAACAATGAGTAGGCTTCCATGTATTTAAATGGATGGCTAAAATGTGTTTTAGCCATCCATGTAAGTAAATAGATAATTTAATGTTTCAGGTGTCTGTTGGATTCAATGCATTTTACAGTTAGATATTATATTGCAGTTATATTTGGAATAGTATTCACCAGTTCTGTACAAAGTCTAAATTCGACACAAAGCTGGTTAGATCTGTCAGTTTTTTTTTTTTTTTTTACCCAGATGTATATATAGTCACCTTGCCCTAAGCGGGCTGACTCCCTAAATTTAGTTCTGCTAGACTGTACTCAGTCAAGCTAATTTGATGGTTTGTGCTCATTTGGATTTCTCTAAGTGTTCTGTTATTGCTAGTGTAGCCACAATCACCTTTGTGAGGTGGCTACTAGACATTTAGTGATTGCCAGGTCTGTAATCAGCCTGGCTGGATTATAGTGGCATTTATCTGGTTAAGCCATGGATTAGCATAGGGCTGTGTGCTGTCCAGCCCGCCCCCCAGACTAGGCCCGAGGCCAGGGGGTGGGCAGAGGTTGGAGTGTGGAAAGTGTTTCCCAGGGCCTCAGTTATGGGGGAGGCCTGTGCTGTTGCCAGAGGAGGAGAACCAGGAAGGGTGGGATGGGTGGCTGCTGAATGTACTGAGAATCTAGAGGACCTCAGGAACATGGCTGGTGTCTCTCCTGCTGAGGATTTGTGCTCATCTCCTGCTCATCTGTTACTCCAATTACTATTCGCTGTACTACAAGTGGATCTACGCTGAGATGCTTAAAAGGTCTGGTGAGTCTGGAGTCTATGTCTGTTACACACGGTTAAATGCTAATGGGGCAGCTGTAGACCAAATCCCCTAAACAACTAGTGATGACCCGGGTTATTCCAGCGGCTCCTTAGGGGGTGAGCGCTACACTTGCATCTGCCTGCTGATGTGTGTAACCTTGCCACAGAGCAGGCAACCAATATTGGAGCCATATGGATATCTTTGTCTCTCCAGCCAATCATTAGGAGGTTCATGGTCAGTGGTTCATGCTGGGGAAACACAAAAATATCCAGGTCTGACCTTGTGAGAGTTTTTTTTCCCTGGGCCTCCTGCTTAGGGGATGATGTGTTTATGTGTGAGTTGTCTGACCACGCCTGTAGCCTGCAGGTGGTCAGGTGTGGAACCAGTCAATGTCTGAAACTGTTTCTGGGCTGTAGAACCATGGAGGAACAATGACTGTAGGAGGTGCCTGAGAAGCCAGGATGGGCTTTGACCTCGCACAAAGTCTGGTGTCTCGCCTAGGAGTTCTATGCTAGATCTGCTAACCAGCTAAAGTTCTACAATACACCGTACCACTGCAAGTTTAATGGCCCTCTGCACTGTGAAGCTGCGAAGTTGTCGTTGAGTCCAGAGTTCTGTACTGTCCTACATGTCTGTAGCCCTTTACCCTCTCTCCCATTTCTTTTTGCTTTATTCAATAAAATATTAGAAAATCCTTAAAGCAACTGGCGCCCAACATTACTTTCACATCCCACAAACCAGCTAAGGACTCATCCCTGAGGTCAAATGTCAGCTCTCCCTACCACTGAAGGCCCCCACATGCCCCTAGAGGTCAGGGGGGGCACTTCCTATACTCTTATTGTTTTGAAACCATTGGGACACAGGCTTTAGCTCTTTGTTCTCTTTTCTGGCAGAAGACCAATCAGATGTTCCTCAGCCCTCTCCAACACGAAGGAGACCCCCACGTCTAGGAGACTGTAAATCCAAATTTGCTGGAAAAACAGGTGACCTCTTCAATTTCTTTTTCTCTTCTTGTTCTTGCTGTGAATGTAGACCATTGTTCTCCAGTATGGGGTTAGCTAGAAAAAGTGGAAAAAATGTATCTTTTGATACAGTGGTTTTGTGATCTCATGATGAGATTTCAGCAGAAATTGATTTTGATTTAAAGTGTACTTACACACACTTTGTTTTCAGTTTTAAACACAGACGGGATAGGTAAGAACCTCCGTCATGTTTTACCGCTCTCCAGGGCTCCCCCTGGAAAAGCACATTGTCCCCATGCCCACGGGAGGACAAGGGCCTCTTCCGCCACAACCCTAACCCAGTGGTTGTGGGGGTCTGCAGGCAGGGGGGCTTATTTGCATCGGGGTATTCCCTTTATTAAAGGGGTCACCCAGATGCTACCCCCCTTGTGAATAGTACACAAGGGGGGTAGCATCTGTAGGATGCTTGTACTCATTCACTCGTTCACTAAAGGAGTACTTGTAGCCCTACTCATTCAAGGGTTAAAGTAAAAAGTAAATAAAGAAACCACACTTTAAGAAAAAATCCTTTTAATTGGAAAAAAAAGAAAACAAATGTTTTTGACAAGTCCTTTAATAAAAAAATAAAAATCCAAAAAATGGATCCACCCATGTAATCCAGGGTCATTCACGACTTCCAGCATTGTCCACAATGCCGCCAACTCGTCGTAATAACAAAATAAACCAATGCCCGCGGACCCGTTTGCTTCCGACTAACTGCCGCCATAGAATGAGAGTTTGACAGATGCCGGTACAATGTCAACAACTAGGCAGAGCTAGCAGTGACATCACCTCCGCCTGTTTGTTGACATTGTGCGGCAGCCGTCTTCTCAGGGCCCGGCCGAATGAAAACAAGGGGCGGAGTCGGTCATGACGTCACAGCCAGCTCTGCACATTTGTTGTCATTCAATGACAGCCCACTGTCCTCGGGGGATTTGAGGACAGTGGCCTGTCATTGAATGAAAACAAATGAGTGGATTCGGCCGTACTCGGCTGAAGTGAACAGCGGAACAGGGTCCGGTTCACTTCGGCTCGGTTATTCACTTGGCTGCCTTTAGCCCCCATGTCTTTACTTGCAACTCTGTCATTCAGTGTTGCAAGAACGTCATAGAAAACTGAGCAGTGTACTTAATCATTTTGAGGAAATGCCAAACACAGCAATAGAGGAAAGCTATAGGAGGTATTCCATAGGTTCCTGTCTTGTACACTTGTCATCAGTAAAGTGACTTTTATATGCCACTGACATGTTGAGACTGACTTTAAAGAAACATAGGCTAAAATAAAGCTTTATGCCGATTTGTCTCCTGTTGTTATTTTGGTACGTTTGTTTCTGTGCAGGGTTCTGGAGGTCTCTGGATTGTGAATTAGAACAGAACCATGTGGGAAAGTCTCCATTATCGGACAAGGTGAGCCGCTGCCGAGGGTTGGACATCCAGGCCCTGCCTTGGTGAATCACATATAATATAATGCGGATTTGATGTACTTTGGTTGTGAATTTTAAGAGTTCTGTATACTAACATATCATACGATAGGAGCGGCTTTTCTGGGAGACTGAGGAGGACATGCGGAGGCTTCTGGAGAACGGCAAGAAACAGTTGGCCAAGCAGATGGACCTGGAAGTAGGTGGTCTAGTGAATTTATTTTCTATCTTCCTTGGCTGTGATGCCTAATCTAATCCTAATTTTGGATAGAATGAGAAGACAGTTCTGCCATTTTTAAATGTTAGAGCCAAAACTCCTCCAGCTCCTTAATTATTTTAGTTGCCCTTCTTTGGACTCTTTCCAGCTCGAGGACATCTTGACATTGTGACTAAATAAAAGCAGATTTTGGAATAACTTTTTGGTGTGCAGGTGGAATTTATACTTGCATCTGCAGAATGGGGTCTACTGGCTCATCCTAGTAGACCCCATTCTGCAGATGCAGAGGAGCACAACTACCTATAATTCCTGTGGGTGACCCAATGTGCTGAACGCTGGATGGGCACACATAGCTAGGGAAAATACATGTCAATTGGGAATGCGGACAGCCATAATCTGGCTTGCCCTGTGAGATAGAACAAATGGTGACTTACAGTTGGGATGTGAGCATCCGTGCCCTGATGTCTCTCACAGGATTCTCTCCAGGGTCTGTCAGATCAGCTGTTCACAGCTGGCAGGTGGGGGGAGAGTGGCTGTCTGACCGGAGTGGGAGAACAAAGTGTCAGCCAACATCACAAACTCAGCTGAGGAGGTTTCCTCTTTGTCAAGCCACAGAATAGTGGCTTGACAAATTGGAAACCTCCTCGAAACGCGTAGCCGACTCCTGCAGGCACTAAGATCACCCCCCCTAATAGATCCTTTACTGCCCCACACACTGGCCCATCTCCGTGCACTCCTCTGACAGTTCCATCTGACACTGCGTGAAGACGCATAGAGTCCGGTGTCACAGAGCCGATCGCGGCTTACCGCTTTCCCTTTCCAGCCGCCGCGGCTCAGCCTGGCCAGCTGAGTTTGTGATGTCTAGGTTCAGCAACTTTATGTGCCTAAAAAAATGAGGTCAGCTGCCTACTTGAATACACTGAATGACCATTTTTTTCATCAATTGATTCTTTTCTTACCTGATGGCACATTCGGCATATTCCAAAATGGCAATGCCAGGATTCATCAGGCTCAAATTGTGAAGGAGTGGTCCAGGGAGCATGAGACATAATTGTCACACATGAATTGGCCACCACAGAGTCCAGACCTTAACCCCATTGAGAATCTTTGGGACCAAACAAAAGCAGATATTGGAAAAATATATTGGTTTGTAGTTCATTCTTTCTTGCATCTGCAGAATGGCATCAATCAGCTCATGCAAAAACCCAAGAACAAAGAGGTCAATCCTCACAAGATGGAATCTTCTATCCATATTAAACTGACTGCAGTAACACTGTGTATTGAAGAATCTTAGCTGGTTAGCAGATCTAGCGTAGAATTCCCCAGGCAAGACACCAGACTTCTCTGTGAGGTCCAAGCCCATTCTGGCTTCTCGGACACCTCCAGCAGATGAAGTTCCTTCACCCAGGAACAGTTTCAGACCCCCGCTGGGTCCATTCCCAACTGTAAGTCACCATTTGTTCTATCTCACAGGGCAAGCCAGATTATGGCTGTCCGCATTCCCAATTGACATGTATTTTCCCTAGCTATGTGTGCCCATCCAGCGTTCAGCACATTGGGTCACCCACGGGAATTATAGGTAGTTGCGCTCCTCAGAAAATTGTTTTGTTTTGAATTGTGATACACAGGGTCCCTCCCCCTGCATTGAGGAGCTTTGCACACCATCCCCTAGCAGATAACCTTCTTACCTGTGGTTGTCCTACAGGAGTGCGCTCTAAGAATTGTGTGTTTTTCATTCTCATTTATTTAGGTCACGGTATATCTGTAAAAAAATAAGTCAAGGCAACTGGACTTGCTGTCTTTTTCTTGAAGACGTTTCACTGGACATCCAACCGGCTTTCTCAATTCAGAATGACTTTTACAAAAAATTATCAGGGAATAAATATGCTGAATGTTGCTTAAATCCACAGGCCTGAGCACTCAGAAGTGCCCAGAATTGTATGTCGGTGAAACAAAACAGTAGCTACACCAGCGTATGGCACAGCATAGAAGAGCCAAACCCTCTGGTCAGGATCCAGCAGTATACCATACCTACATCTAAAGGAAAAAGTCAAGTACGCATCCTAGAAAGGGAGGAGGACTGGTCTAAAAGAGGTATTTAAAAATGGAGAATCCAAGCTTGAATCGAGGTGGGGGTGGGGGGGGTGATACATCTATTGTCTGCCACGTACAATGCTGTTTTAACACCTGCTCTCTCTGGGCAGGTTAATACGACCTCATAGACTACAATTATGCAAATGCAATCAACACCTGGTTGTAACTAACAGATTATGTGGATTGGAGCAACATTCACTGTAATGCCTTGCCCCTACGGGGTTTTGCCTATGGATCGCAACTGCGGAGATGACGCCTCTACTTGGATGGACGGGAATCAGTTTTGCAGCTAGGTCTCTGATGCCTGGTATTGAGTAAGGCGGAGAGGGAGCTGCTTCACATCATACCCCGTGTGTAGGGACGTATATACTAGCAGTATGGATATAAGCGAGTTGATGGCAGTAATATCAAGGAGTCAAAATGCAGAGTCAATGGAGTTTAGCGACAACAGCTAATATCAATGCAGAGTTAATGGAGTTGAGCATCAGCAGTTAGTATCAATGCAGAGTTAATGGAGTTTAGCATCAGCAGTTAGTATCAATGCAGAGTTAATGGAGTTTAGCATCAGCAGTTAGTATCAATGCAGAGTTAATGGAGTTTAGCATCAGCAGTTAGTATCAATGCAGAGTTAATGGAGTTTAGCATCAGCAGTTAGTATCAATGCAGAGTTAATGGAGTTTAGCATCAGCAGTTGGTATCAATGCAGAGTCAATGGAGTGTCACAACAACAGCTAATATCAAATGCAGGGTTAATGGAAGTTAGCATCAGCAGCTAGTATCAATGCAGAGTCAATGTGGGTAATAACTAGCATTAGTGTCCTGGAGCTATATGAGATCTAGCCCAGGTACTTGCGGTTTGGGAGACTGTATGTATCCAGGGAGGTCTCAGTAGAAGGTGGATCTGCTTCACAGATCTGGGGTCCGATGTGCGGCAAGGTGGACACTGAGTTGATCAGCGTCCTGCTACAACCAACAGTAGGACGCTGATCAATTAGCGAGCAGCGGCTTTAAGCCGACTGCTCGAGCAAGAGGGGGCGGAGTCCCTCGGCGCACCTGCGCAGGGCGGCGACTGAGCTTGGAAGCGAGAGGGGGCGGAGTCCGCGGCGCGTCTGGCAGGACGGCGACGGAGACTGGAAGTGAGGAGATGGAGTCCCCCGGCTCGCATGCCAGGACTCCGCTGCTGGACCGTGACCAGGTGCGTCTGTTACATTTATTGCCAGATAATTTTTTGTACAAGTCATTCTGAATTGAGAAAACTAGTCGGATGACCAGTGAAAACATCTTCAAGAAAAATACAGCAAGTCCAGTTGCCTTGACTTATTTTTTACAGAAATATCCACAAGGAGCTAAGTTGGGAATTTGCTGTCCTTATTAATGTCCCCAATGGGGGAACAACAAAAAAAGGAAAAATCTAACAGTGGTTATAAACCTTCACGACTCTAATATCTAATTGTTGCAATGTGTGTTCCACTTGGGGAGATCTTACCTAACTTCCTGTTCTTACTAACAGCCATCAAATACAACTTAAGAAGGATCTCCTCACTTTTATAGAGTGGCTGAAGTTGGATTTTAACCCAAAATGTTTTTGTTGCAGGATCTGTCATTGCTTGAAAACAAACTCACTCTTCATCATGTAAAGGCTGAGACAGTAATTGCCCGTAAGGGTGACCACGTAAGTAGGAGGCTTGAATAACCTCAGCATTTGTTACATTGTCCTGTTCCCCACTGCCTGTCCCATAATGCATTGCTCCATCACTTCAATGTCTTATTTGTAGCAGTGTTTGAACGAAGAGCTTTCATGTTTATAGCAACCAATCATATATTTTAATTTATTTCCCCATGCTGCACTAGAAGAGCAAAAGGGAGAAGAGCCTTCCATGGGCGACATTACATTTTTTTTTCCTTGAGATACTTTGATAAAGTTTGTTGTTCCAAACTTTCCCACCCCTGAGGACCTCTCTTTTTCCTTTCAGGATTTTGGGCTGCACTTTGTGCTCTCAGGTCGTCTTCATGTCTTTCAAGGGGTGATGGGGAGAGAGGACTCCTGCATCTTTGTGACTGGTCCTGGAGAAATGATTGGACAACTCACAGTTCTCACTGGGGAGCCTCTGATCTTCACTATCAGAGCCGTGCAAGACAGCTCCTTCCTGTGCCTGAGCCGCACTCACTTCTACCAGTCAGTCTCTCTGTACTCTTTAAGAGACTTCTCATTTTTTTATGCCTCCCTATATGTTTTTATGCATAATACACCTAATTTATAATGAATTATACTTTATAGTAAAGGCAGTATAGTGCAGAGTAGTATTTTCCAAAACTCAGTAGCCTTGCAGATTGCCACCTGATCTTTTTAAATATGCACTGCCTGGCCAATATAAAGTCACCACCTGGATTTTGGCTAGTGTTATGATCCAGGGTTTCTTCAGTTGGTCAGGTATAGGTTCAGCAACTTTATGTGCCTAAAAAATGAGGTCAGCTGCCTCCCTGAATACACTGAATGACCATTTGTTCCATCAATTGATTTTTTCTTCCCTGATGGCACATTCCAAGATGGCAATGCCAGGATTCATCAGGCTCAAATTGTGAAGGAGTGGTCCAGGGAGCATGAGACATCATTGTCACACATGAATTGGCCACAACAGAGTCCAGACCTTAACCCCATTGAGAATCTTTGGGACTAAACAAAAGCAGATATTGGAACAATATATTGGTTTGTAGTTCATTCTTTCTTGCATCTGCAGAATGGCATCAATCAGCTCATGCAAAAACCCAAGAACAAAGAGGTCAATCCTCACAAGATGGAATCTTCTATCCATATTAAACTGACTGCAGTAACACTGTGTATTGAAGAATCTTAGCTGGTTAGCAGATCTAGCGTAGAATTCCCCAGGCAAGACACCAGACTTCTCTGTGAGGTCCAAGCCCATTCTGGCTTCTCGGACACCTCCAGCAGATGAAGTTCCTTCATCCCAGGAACAGTTTCAGACCCCCACTGGGTCCATTCCTAACCACCTGCAGTCTACAGGCCTGATCAGACAGCACACACTTCACACACTCCCCCCAGACAGGAGGCCTGTGAGGGAGAAAGAGAGTCTCACATGGTCAGCCCAGAATATTTCTGTCCTCCCCAGCATGCATCACTGGCCATGAAACTCCTAGTGATTGGCTAGGGAGACACAGATAGGTTGTGAAACACCACATTATTGGATGCTCTGCTCTGTGGCAAAGTCTCATCTTGCAGCAGACAAATGCGTACAAAAAGAGTGCTTAAAAGAGACCCAATGAGCACAGACTTTTCAAATTAGCTAGACTGGGTACAGTCCAGCAGAAATAAATTTAGGGAGTCACCCACTTAGTGCAAGGTGGCTACACCTGGCAATCATGCTTCAGTGCTGAGTCACTAGTTCAGAACGATAATGCTGCATAATTATTCTACATTAATAGACAAGAGGCAGGGCCTAAAATAGCCTGGCAACCATTTAAAAAAAAAAAAAGGTTAGCAAGTATTGCTCTGTATGTCTGTTCTTGACAATCAACCAGATTTTGGCAGCCATTTTTACAATGAAACCTAACAAATAAAAGAAAGGAATGGATTTGCTACTGCCAGACAAATAATTTATATCAGATCCTCTGATATGTGAATAGTTTTGCTTCCTCCTATAATTATTTCACAGCATATTTTTGTCATTCAGGATCCTGCGCAACCAACCCCAGGTGCTGCTTGCTGTGGCTCACTCTGTTGCTGAGCGTGTGTCTCCCTTTGTGAGACAAGTGGATTTTGCCATTGATTGGATTGGAGTGGAGGCTGGTAAAGAGCTGTACAGGTAAGCCTAGAGATGTATGTGTGACGGACCTAGGGCTGCAGAGGTTTATTACCCCGGAGACCTTTGTTTGCTATGTGTGTTTTCCTGTTTAATATTTTATCTAGAGAGAGAGCATTTCACTATTTGACTTAGTGGGCATTGTTTAGGTTGATGTGATCAAGCTCTCATCTGATTAAGGACATTCATTATGCTCAAAGAGTGTCTGTGCTTAAGGAATTCCAATGCAGGCACCCGGCTGTCCGGGGGAGGGAATTGGTCAAGGTAACACACTAAACTCTTATCTGATTCTGTGAGGTATAAACTCCTGTGTGCTTTCTTCAATAAACCAGTTCATGTTTCCACTCCAAAGTCAGTGTTGTCTGATTCTTGGGGTAAGCCCATGCTATATTCACTTACTTCTGGTCCAGCACCCAGGGTACAGCCTTAAGACGGAGATATCCATTCGGGGTATCAGGGAGCCTGTCACAGTATGTTCATGCACTGATGCAGAAATGAAGACCAATGAATACAGGTTGATGGGACAGAGGGGAGCTTTTCCTGGGCAAATCACTTAACACAATAACACCAATTAGCTGTTGACCTTTACTTAGGTTGGCAACAGAGGTCTAGTATTCTGGACTGCTACAAACATGTTTTCATAGTTGGCTTCTTTGCTATTTTCTATTGGAAGCTGTGACATCCATATCATGTCATTTAGAGCTAGTTGAAGGGTAGCCTGTCTCCTCTCAGGGAGCCATAGTGGAGCTGCCTTAGTGAAAGGTGGACCAGGACAGATCCAGAGCTTCCCGGAAGGTCTATATTTTGCCATTGACCAAGGAACACTTAGGAACCTCCCACAAAGACCAAGGGGAAGGCTAGTCTGTCATGCTCATTTTATTAGCCTTGTAACTCCCACCAGTATAAACAGCTTTCTCACATCAGGCTCTTCTCCTGATTTCCTTCTCCCTTCCTTCCTATCTATCTGTAAAAAAATAAGTCAAGGCAACTGGACTTGCTGTATTTTTCTTGAAGACGTTTCACTGGTCATCTGACCACCTTTCTCAAGTGAAACGTCTTCAAGAAAAATACAGCAAGTCCAGTTGCCTTGACTTATTTTTGTACAGATATACCATGACGTGGATGAAAGAGAACCTTCACAGACATATTTCTTGCTATCTCTCACATTCTCTGTCTCTAGTTCTCCTTTTTGCCCCCGTTCTATTTCATACAGCTACTCACTCCTTTCTTCTTCTTAAACCTTTCTTTACTACTCCTGTGTTCACACATGATTTTCTTTTAGAAAAGGGGACCCCTCTGACTGTACTTACATTGCCTTGAATGGACGTCTCCGTTCAGTGATTCAGCATCCTGACGGGAAGAAGTGTGTTGTGGGAGAGCATGGCCGAGGGGAGCTGATCGGAATGGTGAGAAGAGGGAAAGTCAGTGTACTTTGGTTCTTTTGTATAACATAATGCCTAAAGGTTGGATTAATCTGTCATAATGATTGTCTTAGATCAGCCTTTCTCAACCAGTGTGCGTCACACACTGATGTGCCTCCTGGGCTCCTCTTGGGTGACCCAATATTTTTTGTAGTGGGACTGTGATGTGAAGGGGGCTCCTGATGTAAAAGGGGAACTCTGATGTGAAAGGGGGGGGGGGGGGTGGACTCTGATGTGAAAGTTGGGCTCCTGATGTGAAAGGGGGCTACTGATGCAGAGGGTGACTCTGATATGAAGGGGAGGAGAATTTTGATTTGAAGGGGGCACTTCAATGTGAAAGCGGCTACCGATGCAAAGGGTGCCTTTGATGTAAGAGGGTGATGTAAGAGGGGGATTTTGATTTGAAGGGGCACTTCGATTTAAAGGGGGAGCCCACTTTTACGTGTTTGTGTGTGGTGTCCCCTTAAAATCTATGAAATTTTAGACTGGGGTGCCTCAAGATTTTGCACACTTTTTAAGAGTGCCATGACTGAAAAAAGGTTGAGAAACTCTCTCTTAGAGAACAACAACATTGTGTATGCAGTCCAGTGCAGTGAGGAGTGCTCAGAATTGTATGTCGGTGAAACAAAACAGCAGATACACCAGCGTATGGCACAGCATAGAAGAGCCACACCCTCTGGTCAGGATTCAGCAGTATACCTACATCTAAAAGAAAAAGGTCACTCCTTTGAAGACACTCAAGTACGCATCCTAGACAGGGAGGATGACTACGAACGGTGCACTCGATAACTGTACGGGACGGAGCGATGTTGCACACGACTAGCACATTGGGCGCCGGAACCGGAAGTACCATGCTGTTTTAACACCTCTCTCTGGGCAGATTAACAACAGAGGGAATTAAGAAATCTCTAAGGATGAAAGAAAGTCCATGTACTGTGTCTCTGAGTGTTACTGGGTAATTAAGCCAGTACCAGGTGACTCCTCCTCTGAGGATTGTTAGTCTGTATATTTGGTATTTGACAAGAGGTCAGACTGTTCTATTATAATGCCTGTCATAGAGATGCCTTAGTCACATTGCAATACTGTAATCACCAGCAGGAAGCTCACGGTCTTGGTGACACACTAGTACTGTGAAAGGGAGTACAGGGGGGCAATGAGATCTCAAGAAAACACCAGCAATGCCACTTTAATAGCCCAAATGTTGAGGGATGCAGAACTTGCATAGTTGATTATCAATATCCTCTCATTAGTGATATTACTTACAACAGGTGGAGGCGTTAACACACAAGCCAAGAGTCACATCTGTCAACGCAGTGCGAGATTCTGAGCTGGCGAAGGTCCCTGACGGAGCATTGTCCTACATTAAAAGGAGATACCCTCAGGTACACTTTTACTTTCAAAGATTTGTATTATTTTCCAGTGTAGTTTTAAAGTACAAAAACATATGAAGTACAAAAAGTAGAAAGCCACATATACTGTATATGTCACATGCACAGGAAATAAAAATGTAACAGTCACATAACAGTTGCGTTAATATAAGTTGAGACCTTCACATCGTTATCAGCTTAATATACCGTATATAAAAATCGACATTAAAAGAGAGGACAATCAAGTTGCTGGAAAATAGCCTTGTAGCCCATAGTTCTATTGTGCCAATGCAGTTTAGGGCTGACATAAGGACATTATATCCAGTTTAGCAAGAAAAAAAATGTTGAAATCAGAAAGGGACTACTCAAAACAAAAAGAAATAGAAAGGAAGAGAAAAGGAAAACGATAATTTGGAAGGTGAGCATGAGGTAACATGTATGTAGGTCAAGGTTTGTCGTCAAGAAACCATATTCAAATTACGATATTGTAACCATGGGTCCCATATAATAAATGGTGGCTGTTTGTCCAAGAGGATACTGGCTATTTTTTATGCGTAATAATCCAAGAAAGTTTGGCTTTAACCGAGGCTATGGAGACCCCCCCGGAGCTTCTTAAGCCCTTGCTTTTGAAATTGTTGCTGCCAGAAACATGGAGAAAATTAATCTACCCTGAAATGTAGAGATACCAAAGACCTGTTCATTAAGGAAGCATACTGAGGATCTTTAGGTACACTAACTCCAGTTACCTTAACAATAAGTGCATACGCTCTATTACAGAAGCTATGAATCTTAAGGTATAACCACCAAATATGAAGAACTGTCCCTTGATGTTTACATCCATGAAAACACAATGGAGACGTTCCTGGATACATAGTTGCCAGCCTTGCTGGGACCAGGTACCATCGCGGCAACACCTTATAGTTGGCCTCCACCAAGGAGAGATATTAAGCACACCCTGGAAGGCTTTCATGATTCTTCCATGCCAGGCATCCTCTGACAGTAGGGCCATCCCTATAATGAGGTGGAAGCCTCAGGTGGCATCTCATTGGGTCAAGTGAAGTGGGAGGAGCTCTTGGCCACCTGTGACGCTCTGGCTGGCATCCCTCTCTGCTCCTAGCAACCAGTGTCGTCAGTGAGCTGGGTGGGATGCCGGACAGAGCTGGATCCAGAGTTACTGTACACCACCAGCACCTCCCGACCTCCATCCCTTTCCGGGGATACGGAGCTGCGCACATATTACAAGTGATCTCAGTGACATCGCCAGGATCACTTGTACTAAAACACCAGATTCCCCGCTGTATATTTAGCCTTGCTTGTCAGAAGCAGGGCAAAATGTAGAAAAAAAAACTACCCGCCAGGTGGCTGTGTCGCCCCTCTACTCCCTGCCGCCCTGAGGCCAGGCCTCGGTGGCCTTCTGGGAAATCCTGGCTGCAGGATGGTTTGTTATGAAGGTCTTAAGAGAGATTCTTCTGGAAGGGAAAAATAATAAAATGTGAGTGCTCCATCGTCCTCAACCACAGTCAACTAACAATGTTTTATAAAATAAATTGGTTGTCAAATTTACACCTAAACAGGCACCCGAGTATGCACAGCAATCCTTTGTACATAAGAACTAGTATTGCTTTTCTATGTGATGATGTTTATTTGAATTGGCTGTCTTATATTGATATCTTCTGTGGAACCTCAACAAGTGTAACTTGCCTCCAGGTTGTGACCAGACTAATTCACATTCTAAGCCACAAAATCCTTGGGAACCTTCAAGAGACGCAGGGGGATGTGTCAGGTAAGACGATTTCCAAGGCTGATCTGATAATATTGGCTCTATGTGTCTGGATCTAATACATAATGCATGTCAGGGCACTTGTCAATATCGTTGCTAATGAGAAATCAAGATGTGCCACCTACATACCAGTGCAAAATAAACTGTTTAAAACTGGAGAGTGTTTATTAAAAATGTAAAAAGTGTAAAGCTATTGCTCTGCCTTTACAAACTTCCAAATGTATAACTTATTGGGAATCTCTTATTTGACATAAAATTTTACTTTACCCCTTAAAGACTTGCTCAAATATTCCCAACCATTTCTCCCTTGTGTTGGCGTGACTGCGGACAGACCGGCTCCTTGAGTCACATTTGGAGGTACTGCAAAGCACTTATACCGTACTGGCTGGCAGTTTCCCAGTTTCTTTCCGCAGTTACCCAAACACCCTGCAAGCCTTCTCCTCAACTACCTCTGTTAGGAATTGGCATTGATACCTGGCCCCCATCTCAAGGCACCTTTGTTTCCCATACTCTTATAGCGGCCAGATTAGCGCTAGCACAAGTGTGGAAACAAAACTAAGTTCCCTCCCTCCACATGGCGATTGATATTTTAAATAATGGATCTGGGTGACCACCCCCCAATTGGAGGAATCACTTAAGCTGAGAAAATAGCAAATTACAGCTTTTGTGGCCACTGTTGTATTTCCTGCTTGAAATCTAAGCTACAGTGTATTGTAACCAGTTGCACAGCTAGTAAGCAGTCAAGGAAGGGTCAATACTCCCCTCTCTGTAAGTTGATGTGAGGTATGGAAACTATGTGGTGGAGCATGGATTGTTCCAATCAATGGAGATGGTATGAAGTCTATTGTGCATAATTAAGACTTGGGGTTCCATTCCTGAAGAGCTAATGAAGATTGGGGGACTGTAAAATTTTATTGGATTGGTTCTTCCTAATATTGTCATGGCAACCAAGTCCAGTCCAGGTCTTACATAAATTTTTGTGACGGATCAATGTTCTTCAGGAGACATGATGTCAAGGTGAGTCCATAAATCCAGTTAACTGAAGGATTGGACCTACTATAATGCTAAGTTCTGGTTATCACTATTTGGATGTCAGAATGTGTAAAACACATTGTAAATTACAGGAGGTGTCATAGTAGGGCTGCATACATTCCTGAAAAATAAGAAACAGGGTTGAGTTCAAATAAATGTATGTTATTGGCTTTGCCTGCTAGGGGGTTAGCAATTCTGTGTATTAACCCTTGCATTTGCATTTATGCCACCCTGCATTACCAGTCAGGTGACATACATACATATTTTTATGTTTTATGAGGATTTCAGGCTGACAAACATAGGAAAGGGTAAGTACAATCTTACTGAAAATGATTGACATGTAGCCAACCTACACCGTAGCAACTTCAAAGGGAACTATATGTTGTAGATTGTTCTGGACACTGTTACCCAAATTACTAGTTTAAGTTATGAACCGCTATATAAGCATTCAAACTTACTAGTATGTGGTTCTGAAGATTCAATCATGAGATTGTTTAGCTCAACACAATAACAGAAATGTATCGGTATATAGTATCAAGACTTAAATACAACAAACCAACAATCTATTTAACTACAAAATACAAAGAAAAGATTTACGCATACATAATACACAGACATTGATATATATGAGACAAACAGTGGACATACAGTCAAGTGGGGAAAGAGTACAGGTATAGTTACCCATTAATCATCGCATGAGGGCCCCATCCTGGTGGTCTAACAGACTAACTTTCCTCTTCCTGCCCCTTGATTAATATATATCTCTGCTCTTCATAGGGAAGCATTGAGAGACTTTGATTGGTGGCCTCCCAATGCCCAATCTATTCGTATTGGAATTCCTGTATAGAGATTGGACGTTCCCAAATAACCCCTGCCAGAACCTCCAACCCCCCTCTATGCGAATCTATTAAGATGAGCAGGAAATTCCAGATAGGCAGGTGTCCTTAAGCTAACCCCAGGCCAAGATTGCATCCAAACAGGGCGGACACTCTGGTTGTTTTACTGGCTATAAGGAAGCCTTTTAAGATATTGGCCAGAGACAAAGAGAGTATGCACCTATTGTTAGAATCAAGGGTCTCGGCAAGTGTTCCTGGATCCCATTGTCTCTTGCCTTGACCATTTACCATTAACAGGCTATGCCTAATTACATTCAAAAATCCCCATGTAATCAATTCCTCAGGACAGTATACATATAATTTCCCTACTCTATTCAGTCACCCAACATAGAATATGTTTAATTAAAAAAATTATATACATATGTTCATGGAGATTTGATATGAATCTCATAAAGCAACAACACTTTAATCTTAGCTGTGCTCTCTCCGTCTTTCTCTTAGATCCCGGAAATGTGGCCAGTAACCTGAGTACGATTTGTGTGTTACCTTGCAGCAATAATGTTCCTCTCTCCGCCTTTACTATGGAGCTTAAACATGCTCTGGACACTATAGGTAAAACGTCTGTGAAGAAAGTGTTCAGTAGATCTAGTTTCCTCTATGGTGTTGGAAGAGTTAATGTACTTACAATCTGCCTCTTTCAGGCCCAACTCTGGTTCTCACAAGTGACATCATCAGGGCGCGGCTTGGAGCCTATGCCTTGGAAAGGTTTGTAAGGCCCCTGTGTACCCAGAGGCCTGTGGAGGGAAAAGAGGGTAAAAAGTGTGAGGATAAGCTTGGCTTCCTGGTGACAAAAATTGTATTGGTGTCAGCTCTGTCACCTGGAATTTGGTTGATTATCAAATTCTAAAAACGGAAAACAAGGGTGTATAATTGGCGCCATCCACTAAGACTGCCATCCCACAGATCTGTGACTGGGAATGTCACCAGCACACCATAGATCCTTCCAGAATCACAGAATGTTCATTTTATTGAACAAATTGTCAAGAATGGGAACAAGCGTTTTTCGGGACCACACAGGGTCCCTTATTCAAATGTCGTCATTGTTAAAGCCTGATGAAGGGACCCTGTGTGGTCCCGAAAAACGCTTGTTCCCATTCTTGACAATTTGTTCAATAAAATGAACATTCGGTGATTCTGGAAGGATCTATGGTGTGCTGGTGACATTCTTCAAAATCCTATGCTTACAGCAGCGCCGTCCACAGTCATTCCAAGCACCCTCCCTTATCATTTGGGATTTCCGGTAAGGAGAGCAACAACAACTTTTATATTATTCATGGACAATCCTAGACACACAGTTAATAAGTCATAACATGATAGCAAGGGTTTTTTTTCTTGGTTTACACTTGAAGGTTGAAGGTGGGCATTGTGTTGCTGTGCTAGGGCTGCTTCCCTACTCATGTGCATGTGGACATGACTATGTAGCTCCTGTACACACTGACCAAAATGATCACTGTGTAAAGCTTGGAACACAAATCTCTACATAGGGCAAACGGCATTAGTCACTTGCTCCAGTTCTGGGCCTCATCTCATTTAATCAACCAGTACAGGCATGCCTACTATCACCAAGATTTAGTTTCATCTTGTGTATGGTGGACAATGAAAACCTAAAATGGTTTAAACATAAGCTAAGGAATTTGTCCAAGTAATATATACATGGGCTATATTTTAACTATAGTAAGGAACATTACCTTATTAAAAAAAACACAACTATTGCATTCCTTTATAACAAATCCAATATCTGCATATATTCAATATAATCAGTTGCTTGGTGAGGGCAGGACTCCATTATAACCACATCCTTACACCCATTTGCATTTTTTGTCAGTACTCACGAGTGTCAACTGTCCACTTGGCTGGCCCAGCAGGAAGATCTTCACCGTATTGTCCTCTACCAGACCGACTCCTCACTCACACCATGGACCGTACGATGCATCCGCCAAGCAGACTGCGTCTTAGTGGTCGGGTTGGGAGAAGAGGCACCAGCAATGGGAGAGGTCAGAGAAAGAAACGTCAATGGTCTCAAGAAGATCATCTTGAGTTTTTACATTAAAGCGGGCTTTAGATGTCTCAATAAAGGAAACAATGATTATTGCTAGGGATTTTGGGCTGTTTCTCTGCACCAGACACTTAGAGCACCAGGCTGTCAGAGGTTCTCAATATCTCTGATTTCCTAACCAGTTACACAATCTACCTGCGAGCTGATCCCAATTCTTCTCTCTTCTATTGACCTACCTGTTCATGGGGAAATATCTGCCCATCTGTGTCCATCCTAATATGTCTTGCTTTATCCTGCTCCTGGTCTTCAGCAGCAGGTTCCTGCTGCTGCTGACCAGATCCAGCACTATATTTAAATAACTGCAAATATTTCACTTCCAGATTTCCCTTCCTTGCAACCATGGCAGCAACATTCCATTTGTACTTGTGATGTCCCAGAATCATTATTATTATACAGGATTTATATAGCGCCAACAGTTTGCGCAGCACTTTACAATATAGGGAAGACATTACAATCACAATACAAATCAAGACAAGATGGTAAGGAGGGCCCTGCCCCTGAGGGCTTACAATCTAAAAGGGAGGGGTATCCTTTAATTGGCTTACTGCCTCCTCTATATGTCTACGCAAAGCCTGAGGCCACATTAGAGAAAGTTGGCTGTCCTCAATTTCCTTATGATTTGTCACAGTTGATACATTCCTTGTTTACGGTGTTGCTGTTACAGATCTTTCTCCTCTTCTTTCTCTCTCACTATAGCTTGAAAAGTTTCTTGAGAATTCTACTAATAGGGCCCTTAAACAACTTGTACTCCTTCATCGGATGGATGGTCCTCCACCATCAGACACGGCAGAATGGCTTAAACTCAGGACTTGGGTATCGGCGCATTTCCATATCCGAGTCCCGAAGCGGGTATTTGTGAAGAGGCCGCCACATAAAATGGTAATTGCAGCATATTTAAAAAAAAATCTTGATATAGGTGTAGCTTATATGTAGTGATATCAGTGAGCTTAACAGTTGTAGTTAATTCCTTAGTTGTTCTAAGCATAATGGTGTCTGTGCCTTCACTTTTATAAGTGGAAATTCTCCTCCGTTGCAAGGGTTCTCATCAGAGATGTCCAATTAATGAAGACTGTTGCCTCTGGTAGCATCTGTTTGGGTCACGTGGGGGTGGGGGCGGCTGCCAGAGCGGCATGGCCGCGCAATGTTTGCAGTGTGCCTGTACGCCAGGGCGTACCAAGGTTGCTAAGAGCCAGACGGGGAGATGTGTAAGGGCCATTCACATCTCCCTCCTCAGCTCTTAGCAACCTGGGGGATGCATTGGCCGGCATCCATGCCAGCTCCTGGTAACCAGTGACATCACTGGTTGCCAGCAGTGTGGCGGCATCACTCAACCGCCACCCCCAAACCTCCCCCCTGGCTGCTTCAGGTGACTAAAAGGCAAGAGACACCACTTTTTTCTCTTTGTAATGATAGGACTGGGCTAAATGTTGCCATATGGACTCCTTCAACAAAAATGACTTTGTATTCATATCACATGGCTTCATTCTTTTACAAAGCCATGTGTAATTTTGCTTTTGCACTGATTCCAATGCTTGGCAAAATTTCACAAAATATTCAGATTTATGCCAAAATGGCAGCATAGTAAAAACTATCAATTTCATGCATCTGTAATTAGGAGTTGACGTTTATGTATTTCCCTCTGCTATGATGTTCCTGCCTTGAGTTAAAATGACAGTTTGCACCTTGCATGGTCCAATTATGTTTCCCTCTGGTGCACTTAAGTGGACCGATCCAATCAGCTCCACAAGGAGCATCCAAGAGAACATGTTTGAAGGGACAGTTGCCTACTAGTAAAAATACCGGGACATACTGTATACCTTATTACAGGGCTCAAAATTTCCACTCGCCTGCTCGCATTTGGCGAGTGGAAATGCAGTGCAGGCGAGTGGAAATTCAGTCAGGCTTGAGTCAGTACGTGACTAATGGGAGCAGCTGCTCCTGCTGGGCTCTCTGTTCTGTCAGCCGCAGCTCTTCACTGAGCTCCGGGTCGAAAACGGAGTGATTAGTAATGTCTGCAGACCTTACTAATCACACCAGATCATCAGGGATCTGCCTGCTCGTCTCCTCCCTACAGAAAGACAAGCAGGTGAGGGGGCTTCATTGTTTTACTTTACAGGGAACATGGGGGCTTCTTATTTTATGTGTGGGGGGGGGGGCAGGGAACAGGGTGGCTTCTTATTTAAT